TAGCCACGTCTCTGTCACGTGTATAGGTATACGTATATGTACGTATATGCTGATGTTTTGTATATTAAAGTATATTAGCGTGTGTATATATATACTATACTATACAGTGACGTCATTTTTTTATTCACGGTCACAAGGCGACTCCAGCTACCGATTCGGATAACGTTTTCTCGCCTTCCGGTTCCCTTCGAGTCGCCACCCTGATGAGAAGCTGCGCTCTCGGGCCGATTCGTACAGTTACGCCGAAGCTCTCGGAAGATTTGTTATTGTCGAGTTGAGGTCGAGGTGCTCGAATCTGCCGTGGAGAGATAGTCTCGACGTACCGAGTTGCCCGGGAGAGGAGAGTACCCGACGGAGACGTCTCCGGACCGGCAGAGCTCCGGGTGAGATTCCGGCGCCCCGCTGGACGGTGGCAAAGGGCTGCGCAGCGGGCGGGGGTGCAGTTCTGGCACGGTTAAGGCCAGGGGAGGAGCACCCTGACCCGGGTTCAGGACGCGGTGCCCAGCGGTCGCCCGGTGCCCTGGGGAATCGGCCGTGGAGGATCTCCGGGAGTTACGTACCGATTCGCTAAGGAACGCTCTCGATTTGGTTCAAAGGGACGAATCGAGGGAGAGGATAAGAGTTATCGGCTATAAGGATCTCGACCAATCGGAAGGATCAGTTCCCGAATTTGACTATTGTCAATCGACCGCTTCAAAGCAGTCTGTCTCGGGACGCCGATCGGGCTGCCTCGAGCTGCCTCGCGTTCTCGGGCTGTTTGTTTACACTTTTTCAACCCGCGTTTCCTATACGGTATACAAACTTCTCGCTCGTGTAGTTCCCGTTGCTCTCGCGATATCCAGAAAATCCTACCGATTTTCTGCGCGCGTTTCGGAGGTGCAGTGTTGTGCTATAGTGCAGTGCCCACCCGAGTGTACCCTGGATGCAGTTCTCGGCCTTCGCGGATCAGCTGATCCAGCTTCGGTGAGGACTCCCGATGTATTAATTGGTGGAGGGATTTCGATTTTGAAGCTCCGATTCGTTCTGCTACGTTCTCGATCGGTTGCTCTCTGTTTCCGGGACTGTTTACCTCTCGCTTCCTCCGGCTCTTTCTATCTCAACGTAGCAGCCCGAGCGGCCGCGCATTTCCGTAACCGTTCGCCCCCGTTCGTGCATCTAGTTGCGTTTGCTGATTTCACGACCCCAAAAGTCGACAGGATCCGTAAGCTACCGTCTATTCTGCAGAATAGATAGTATTCTGCAGATGATAATTTCCGTCGAAGCTCTCGTCTCGGCAGAGTTGAGACCTTTCCACCTCAACTCCTACGTCATACCGGCTCCTCGGTTCCTGGTGAAAAAAGAAATGGCCGGCGCCCGCCTGATGTGAGGACGGCCGAAGGTGAGGTAGGTTAGGTCTCGGATTTTCGTTATCGGTGTCGAGATAAGAAAATACGTTGCAATATGTACTCGTTAAAAAACGTATACACGGTGTCCATCAAGCTTCATTTACCTACAGGGTAGTTCTACCCAGTAAAAAATAATATAGGGATTCATGAATATTATATACCGGATGTATTTTTGGTAATTATCGAATCATAATTATTTACTCGTACGATTATTTAAAAAAAAAATAATCGTTATCTTGTCTATTTTTTTTTATACGGAATCGTTTTGCATTTCTGATTTTATTTACGTATAGGAAGCTTCAAGTTGATATGATATACAGAGTGGGTCGTTTATCGTGATATGTTTGCAAATATGGTAATTTAATACGGGTTGGACGCGAGGTGGGAGGTGATTATCTCTGCATGGTATTACATACCTTGGTATATACCGGGTGACATGCAGATGCACCGTATCGACTTACCAAGTTCCTACTAATCGCTGTTACCGCTTTTAATCTACCCCTGTCTTTAGTATATCGGGTATCCATGTGGTATCTGGCATTATACGGGGTGTCTCGAGATTCTCTATTTTACGAAAGTATTTAACGTTTCTTCAGACACTTGTCTCTCGTTTGCCGGCACGTAACCGGTTTCCCCGCTAATTGGATTCCGAGTTTTATGCTGCTTATACAGGGTGTCACCGAAGTACAGTTATCATTATATTTTGTTTTATTCAAGAAAATGTACACTCGGATCAGTGCATTTATGGGATATGCACTGTCTATTTTATTGTTCACCCTGTATATTGCATGGGACGTAGTTTATCCCGCTTAGTCGTACTGTTTAACGCTTATTGATAAGTGACAATACTAATTATCTTTTCATATTTTTTTTTATCAAAATAGTACCTTTGCTCGTTTACCGGAAATACCTTGTAGATAGAGCCAGTTTCTCAAGGACATCTAGATCAGTTCAGGGAGGCAGAATAAAAAAAAAAGAAAGAAGAATAGAAGAATCATCCTAAATCCACTTCTCCGCGAATCAGCGTTATCTGATACTTATCTGTTAAGGAATCATCCCTGAAAAAAAAAAAAAATCCGCAAATCGCAAAGCCGATCAGTAATTAAATAAAACGAAGATACGAGAGCGGGTACTAAAAATCCAAGAATCACGCTAAAGTTGTGAATCAATTAAATATTAAAAAAAAAAAATTCAATTCCAATGGAAATCACAAAATACAGTCGTAGACCACGAGTATCGAACGATCATCGAAAAAGAATCTAAAAAACATATCGATTGTGTTTTTACAAAAAATAACAAAAAGTTACGTCGCACGGAGTATCGATCAATTTAATTTGGTTCACGTTACAAAATAAGTCATAGACTGCGAGTGCAGCAGATAGGCATCTCGCATGCACTTTGCAGCCCTCGTGCTACTGGATAATTTAGGGCTAGGTTTACGTGCGTGTGTATACGTCCCTGCATTAGGTATACTTACCTTGCTAGACCACCGCCATGGCTAATGAGACAGAGAGAGAGAGAGAGGGGTCGAGAGGTCAAGGGGACGAGAGGAGTATAAACGAAAAAAAAAAAAAAAAAAAAAAAAAAAGGG